TGGGTTCTGCTGAGGTGTTAACTCTATTGTTGGAATCTAGTTATTCCAGGCTAGCCAAGGTTACAAGTCCTTACCCCATCTACTCCACACATGATTGCAGCAGGTCTTGAAGTGTATGACGTTGCTAAATGCCGTCCTGGGCCCCAAAAAGTAGAGACATTGGTAAAATCTCTGATCTCTAGTACTCTAGCCTCCTACAGGGACACATAGACAAAGGAACCCTTGTCAGCCCTGGGATGAGTCTTAGGTGAGACACATACATGAGGTATGACAGAATTAGGGACTGCATCGAGTTCCCATGGAGTAGGGACACCCTTAATACAGGGAGCATATTGAGAGTGGTCAAGGACAAATCAGAACCATTAGAAAATGAAAGGGTCTTTCAGGTAGAGAAGCAGTGTATTCAGAAGACCCAGAAATCCTGCTCTCTCCTGGGTATGATATCAGCCTGGGATGAGGAATGAAGCTGAGAAGCATGCAGGGCTCAGGTCCTGAGGAGTCAATGGTACTATGCCAAGGAGTTTGGATATTGGTTCTGAAGATGAGTAGAATCTGTCAGATTTGCATTTTAAATGGATCTGAAGTCTGGAAAACCCCAATGTAGCATGAATCTTAAAAAGTCTTGTTAATAAAATCAAACCTAAGGCCAGTTATTGGGGTGAATGCTGGAAGATCAGAGAAGTAGAACAAGCCACAGCCACCTCACCTCGCCAGTTCCTCAGCTGATCCTGTTTCCCCAGACTGGAAGCCTCTGAGTCCTCATCCAGAATGGGTCTCAGCTGAACTGTGCTGCTCAAAGCCTGAAAGCTTAACCAGCCAAATGCTTCTAGTTTCTGGTCTCCACGCTTTATATATCTTTCTGTTTTTGCCATCACTCTCTGGGATTAAAGGCTCACTTCTTGGGATTAAAGGTGTGTGCTACCACTGACTATCCTCTATGTTTAATATTGTGGCTGTCCTGTTCTCTGACCCCAGATAAGTTTATTAGGGTGCACAATATTTTGGGGAACACAATACCACCACACCCCAAGATAAACACTTGATGTGCCTATAAAGGAACTGTCAGAAGTCACTTGCTTTCTCACACCACTGCAACCTGGCAGAGCAAGGGGGCGCAGGTCCTTTACCATGCAGGGAATCAAGGAGGAAGACACCCTTTCGCACCAAGGGGAGAACTTCCTTTTCAAACCCTTTCAAAGAGGTTGAATTCCCTGTCATTCCAGGGACCTGCTCAGAATTCAGGATATATAAGATAAATGGTCCACTCTGTCATGTCACAATATATGGTTCAGCTGGCTTATGGTTAAGAGGTGTCTTGTGTATGTGTGCTTGCGTGTGCACATCACCTCTTTGTTTCCGTGGAGAGTGAAGGGCAGATTGATTTTCAGAATGCACTGCATTTAGCAGCTGTGACTTCTGTGTGCTTATTCTGACAAAGTGCAAGCCCAAACACAGGAGCAGAATGCACCACACCAGCTGAGAGTCGAGCTCTCCTAGGGCTGTGGAGCTGGCTTTGGTAAAGGCACTTGGCACCAAGTCTGGGACCCACATGGTGGGAGGAGACAAATGATTTCTGCTAAGTTGCCCCATGCCCTTCACATGTGCTCTGTGGTGTTAGGCGTGTGTACAAATGTGTGCGTACACACACACACACACACACACACACACACACACACACACACACACGTCGGCACATTAAATAATTGTAACAAAAGGAAAGAACTCTTTTTATAAATCAGACTGGGTTCATTAAAAAGCAGTGCAGCTGACAACATGGAATACAAATGGACAGCTCTAGGCAGTCGTTCAGCTCTTGCTTTGACTAAGCCAGGATAGCAGCTACCTGAAGCTATCCTGGTGCCTGTACGGAAGAGGCGTTCCTATCATTGTTTCAAAAGGAAAGTGGTGGTGTGTTGAAATGGATCCCTACACAAGTGTCTCCTGGCTCAGTGAGACTTAGAAAAATAGGCTCATGAAGGAGGCTCTAAACCTATATGCAGAAGGAAGGCAGAGAGGTATAGCATGGATTAGACACTGTAGCATGAATTTTTTAAAAGATTTATTTATTTATTTATTTATTTATTTATTTATTTATTTATTTATTATGTATATAGCATGTGTGACTGCAGGCCAGAAGAGTGCACCAGATTTCATTTCAGATGGTTGTGAGGCACCATGTGGTTGCTGGGAATTGAACTCAGGACCTCTGGAAGAGCTCTTAACCTCTGAGCCATCTCTCCAGCCCCTGTAGCATGAATCTTAAAAGGTTTTATTAATAAAAACAAACCTGGAGCTGGGTATTGGGGTGAATGCTGAAAGATCAGAGAAGCAGAACAAGCCACAGCCACCTCACCTTGCCAATTCCTCAGCTGATCCTGTTTCCTCAGACTGGAAGCTTCTGAGTCCTCATCCAAATGGATCTTAGCTGAAATGCTGCTCAAAAGCTTAAAAGCTTAACCAGGCTCTAGTTCCTGGTTTTCACGCCTTATACACTTTTCTGCTTTCTGCCATCACTTCCTGGGATTAAAGGCATGAGCCACTGTGCCTGGCTGTTTCCAGTGTGGCTTTGAACTCACAGAGATCCAGATGGATCTCTGCCTTTGGAATGCTATGATTAAAGGTGTGTGTGCCACCATTTTCTGGCCTCTGTATCTAGTGGCTGTTCTGTTCTCTGATCCCAGATAAGTTTATTAGAGTGCACAATATTTTGGGGAACACAATATCACCACAAGACATGAAAGACAGAGAAGGTAAAAGAAAATCCTTACATCTGGATACACGGGATAGAAAGCTATTCTCTTACAGGCAGATGCTGCCCCTCCCTATGTGACGTTGCCTTGAGGAATTTTCCTGAATGTCAGTCAAGGAAGCTAGGAATTATGGGGCACGCCTGCAATCCCATCAGGGGCACAGAGGCAGGAGAATTACTGCAAACTCTACACATTGAGTTCCTAGCCAGCCAGTCAAGGCAGTATCTCAAGGGGGTAAAAATGCCAGTAAAGGGCATCAGTGGAAGTAACTAGTGCTACCCCTCACCTCCATTCAATGCATATTTGTTTGTTTGTTTATTTGTTTGTTTTGGTTTTTTGAGACAGGGTTTCTCTGTGTAGCTTTGCACCTTTCCTGAAACTCACTCTGTATCTCAGGCTGGCCTCAAACTCACAGAGATCCGCCTGGCTCTGCCTACAAAATGCTGGGATTAAAGGTGTGCGCCACCACTGCCCAGCGCATATTTGTTTTAAGAGCTGATTTGCTAACTTTGTTGGGGGTGGGCGGAGGCAGGAAGATTGCAAATTCAGACCCTGTCTGGGTTACAGACTGGATTCAAAGGCCAACCTGGATAACTCAGAAAAAAAAAAAAAAAAAAAAGGGTGGGGGTGGGGGGTTGAGGCTGTAGGGGTGGGAGGTTGAGGCTGTAGGTCAGTGATAGAGTGAATGCCTGGAATGCCTGAGGCCCTAGATTCAATCTCCAGCACTTGAGGGAGAGAAAACAAGAGTTGATTTGCAGCTAACACATGGTGGCCTTCTCTGTGACTCGTGCATTACTCAGATGGTCCTGGCTTCCTAGAATTCTTAATACAATTCCAGGAATTTTCATTAGCAGCCGTCACATATGAATCTTCTTTCAAAGTGACTCTAGTGCCTTTCCACAAATGACCCTCCCTATCTCTAGCCTCTCCCAAGTCCAACCCACCTAGATCTCAGAGGGAAAATTTACATTCTTAAAACAGTGCTTAGGTTAAGTTCCCCTTTTCAAAACCTTTCACCTCCTATGTGTTTTCAAATAAGCCCAAACAGTTAAAGAGGGGTAGAATCCCTCACACCAGGTTAATTCTGAACACCACCACTCTTGCTTACAAGGCAACATGGTACCCTCAGCGTCCCAGGAATGGATAGTTGGCCCTCATTCTCCAGAACCACACTGGTTTGTTTGCAGACCAGCAGCCCGAAACCCTCCTACCCTCCCTATTTGCCTTGAAAGAACATTCCTGAAGGTGCTATACTAGGTGCAAGGGAAGCCTGCCGCTCCCTGCCCACACACCCTGACTATTCCTCTCCACCCCTTCCAGGGATTGCTTGCATCTCTGACTTTCAAGTAAAGGGGAGATGCTTTTCCCCATCAGGATACAGACCACCCTCTAGCCTTGAGTACAGTAGGAAAAAGGGAAAATCCCAAGCCTTGGGAAGATGCCGGGCACACTTTGGGCTCCCAGCAAACATCTCTTGATGGTATTGACAACAATGAAGACATTCCACTTTATTTACTTAAAAGTACTGTTACCCACCACCCACTCCTTTCTTCTCAAGGTCGGGTACTTCCCCCTTCATCCCCCACCTGCCTCAGGCGAGAAAAAAAATCAAATATCATTAATTTGATTAAAATTGGCTTTGATATATAAGAAACAAAATTTCCTTTCTAATCCCGTAAGAAATAAGAACTTCCCAAATCTCTCTCCCTCGGCCCTACCTAGCATTGAATTTCAGCTTTCTTGAAAAGAACCGACCAGGATTTTGTCTTACTAAAAAAAACTTTGTGTCTACTCTGAAGGGCCAGATCGCCACCAAAATCCCCACTCAAGACAAATGTGTGTTGTGAAACGAGGTGTCAGGACGAACTGTCTACAGGCAGAACAATGGAAAAGAAAAGAAAAAAAAACCAAAAGCACACAAACAAACAAAAGAACCCCAACGCGTTGAACCCCCAATTAAACCTTAGCCACCCCTGTGTTCTCTAAGCTGTTGGTTCAGGGGCTTTTCTTGAACAAAATGCCTCCTTTCCTGGACCTTGCCGTCGGTCACCCTTCACTTACTAAGGAGTGTATGTCCGATTTGTTTATCTGAGTGAGATCTCTGTCGCGCTCAGTCAGTCATCTCGCTCAGCCACCGACAGGAGCACGTTTCCTTAAATCAGAGACCCGTGAACTCTACAGGAGAACTACATTACCCAGAGGGCTTCGCGCCCTTCGCAGGAAGGACGTCTGCGCACTAAGATACTCAGTTCCAAGTTTGGAGCTTTTAGCTGCCAGCCCTGGCCCATCATGTAGCTGCAGCACAGCCTTCCCTAACGTTGCAACTAGGGGAAAAATCACTTTCCAGACTGTTTTGCAAGGTGTGCAATTCCATCTTGACTCCCTGAAAGTCCATCTGCTGCATCGGTCAAGAGAAACTCTACTTGCATGAAGATTGCACGCCTGCAGCTTGCATCTTTGTTGCAAAACTAGCTACAGAAGAGAAGCAAGGCAAAGTCTTTTGTGCTCCCCTCCCCCATCAAAGGAAAGGGGAAAATGTCTCAGTCGAAAGGTAAGAGCCTGTTTGCATTAGTTGCAAAAAATGCAAAGGCTTATGCATGCATTCATGAATGCATGGATGCAATTTTCGCCCGGCGATTGCATTTTTAAGTTTGAGGTTTTCCACAGCTCAGTTGCATTTCCTGTTTAGTGTGTGTCTTTTTTTGCAGACACAGAGAGTTCCTGTAAGGCAGGGCTTGCAGTTCAGCTGTGCATTGACATTATTTGCATTCTTCTGCTAGGATTACTGAGCCTTTTTGCCTTTTGCACAGTCAGGAGAGAGATAGCAGGTTGGTAGCGTCTAAATGTGCAATGCTTTATATAATAGTACATTTCTTTAGTATGCACGCACATTCTAAGTAATTTTGTGTGCAACAGGAATCCAAACTTTCGAAAAGTCTCGAGGTGAAGAGGAAAGGTAAAACTCGACTTAAACTACTAGGAAATTAATGTGATCTTGTATTCTTTGGGGGAATGAGCTACTGCGGTGCCAGTATTCAGCTAAATTTGTATTGATTTTGCTTTAGACATTAGGCAACTTTTGATTTTTAAGAGAAGTAAAGGTGAAGTGTGGAGAGCAATATATTATTAAAAAAATAAAGTAGGCAAGCCTTGCTCTTCTGAGATTTTACACTTTTATCAGTCGCTTGCAGTGGTGAAGACCTGAATATGTTTGGCCATTTGGAAGATGCTTTTGCACCTGGGGGAGGGTTTTAGGGGGTAACTGCATTTTTAAGCATTGCATCAACATAAGACTACCATACCATCTCACTGACAATTGCAATGAAATCTTGTAAGTGTGTAACTGCATATATTTGGTCAGAATAGGTCAGAAGTTCAGGGCTGTGACTGTCTTTTTTTCTTTTTCTTTCTCAAATTTATTTAATTAAAAAACTTTTTTGTAAGGGTGTATTTTGCAAACTTACTGATGTTCTGTGGAGGGAATTAAACAAACAAACAAACAAACAAAGTCCTGGTATGGCGTCAGAGCTGAAGGGGCGCTTAGGTGCTTGTGAGAGAGACCTTTAATGACCTGTTTCGGGAGCAATCTTCCTTACCATAGAGAAATCAGATGTCATTTGAAAACGCCCCAAAATGAAAGGTGCGCTAGCTGCTGGTGAGCTAGACTACCTGGGAATACCACTGGAATAAGATCTGGAGACATTAAAGTATCCAATAAGCTTTTTGCCACACTTCTTTTTGGAGTTGTGATAGGATTTAATTCTACCTGATGAACGTGGTGTGTCTGATCCCAAGAAGAAAGGAATGTTCGTCAGAGTTTAAAGTAAGATTGCTTGTGGTGGTTGTTGGCTTTTGTTTTGTATTTAATATTAGGGGAGGATGAAATATTTTAACTATTTCAGAAGTGTGCCTATGAACCTAGAAATGGGGATTTTTTTAAGGTGTAGATATTCCTTAGACAGGGAAAACTCAAAATCTTGTAATTGAGCAGAGAAATAAGAGTTTACAAGAGTCAGTCCATGCTATAACATACTTAAGAGATGACTTCTAGTTACTTTGTATTTGGTAAATATTCACTCATTCATTAAATTCAGCTTAAAATGTGTATGTATGATATACATGCTTATGTCTGTAAACATACATGCATACTATATATGTATAGGCACATGTAGATTTGCATGTATGTATATGTGCATAGAATTTTGGGATACACAGGAATATTTAAATGAAGTCTCTTTCTTCAAGAATTACCATCTGGTTTGAGAAAGCAGGAATGTGAGGAAATTTTTGTGACACAAGATAGCTGCATGGATTGGGCCAGCGAGATGGCTTGGTGGGAACAGGTGCCTGACCACCTTAATTCCATCCTCCAAACCCAAATAGGGGAAGGAAATGCCTCCACGCTGTCCTCTGACTTGCACACGTGCACCCTGCACAGCCCATACACACACAAAATAAATAAATAAAAATGTAATAAAAAAATTTTAAAAGCCCAACTATTGGAGAGAAGTGGGGCTACAGAGTGTAGAGGCCATAATGGTTCTTTTACTTAGTAAGTTGTCAGGAAGTTGCCTGAAGAGGTTTAAATGGACTGCCATCCTCCCCACTTGTTTTGGGCCTTGGGTTCTAAATTAACTTCCTCCTTGCATAGTTTTTGGTCTTTCTCGGCAGGTGATTTGTTTGTTTGTTTGTTTCTCCTTGGGAAGCTAACAGGGTAGTTGTGTGACATTTTCCCACTCTTGATCAGGGATTGGTTGTCCTCAAGTTAGTTTCCATTTCTTCAGATGAGCGTTCTCAACGGAATCCTGCTTGCAAACTATATCTGGTATGAACATGAGGTTTTTGTCCAAAAAGAAAATTATTGGTGGAAAGACGTGGGCAATCATTTTTGAAATGGCCAAGGAGTCTTGGCCTGGACTTTTTATGTGGACTTGGCCTAGCACAGCCAGGCTCTCCTAAATGGCCAAAAGCACTCTTTTTTTTTTTTTTCCTACTTCTTCTTCTTCTTGGTTCCAGACTTCTTTCTAATACTTTAGGCAAATGGAATAGGAAAAAAGTGAGAGGTGGGTACAGTCTCACAGTATTGAAGAATTTAACAACATGTTCAATTCACGAACCTTTATGAACTTTTTAGATCACTATAATTCAGTTTTACAGACCTCTAATTTAAGGCATAGCAGAGGCAAAGAATTACAGACTGCCCAGGAGCTGGAAGGACTGGGCGCCTTCTCCCTAGCCTTACCAACAGTGAGATTCCGAGAAAGAATTTTCTTAAAAAGAGATTCTGTTTTCCACAGTTGTGAGTTTAGGTGGTGTGTTTCTCAGCTTGTTTGTATTAGCTGTCTGGGGTTGAGCTGACATTTTTCAAATATTAAAGCAGTAGTGTGCCTTTTGAGGAAATCTGAAATGTAAGTTAACAGGAAGGGTACCAGAGAGTGCAGGAATTCCTGCACATTACAGGAAGGCAAGTCACAGGAAAAATGTGTCATCTACACTACCCGGGCGAGAAAACTATTGTTATCTGCCAGAATGGTCTTCTTAGTGGGAGAGAGAGGGAGGGAGAGAGGAGGGGGAGGGAGGGAGGCCCGTCTAGCATCTCCTGGTTTACCTGAAAATATATGTTTGACTCTTTTAGAAGCCAGTCTTTCTCACTTCTTTTCCTATTCACCTCAAAAAAACAACAGGAGCTTATTTGAGTTAAATGTAATCATAAGTAAGTCATGTAAGAAATGCTCACAAGGCCGACTTCAGGAGGGAATAGGGATATAGCAGGGACACTCCCAACCTTACTGAGTTAATCTCTGTTTCTGTAATTCATTCCATCCTGGGGAACCAGATGTGTAAATTTCTCATTCAGCGCACATGCTTTTGTTGGGTTGTATCAGATGGACTTGTCATGCTGAGTCTGTAACCTGAGCTAGTGTGTTTTATAACTCTGGACACCCAGTCAGAATAGGCACCTTGGGCCTCCTGCGTGGTGTGTGGTGTTGTTGCCTACAGTTCTTTTTAATATGATGCATATTAGCTAAATGGTGTGTGTGTGTGTGTGTGTGTGTGTGTGTGTGTGTGTGTGTGTGTGTGTGTTTGTTGGTGATGCAGCTCCTCCCAGATACAAGGGTTGGGATTCTCATCTCTTTGTTTTTCACAGATTAATACCATTTTAACAGAATCCTCCATCTGTGAAAATCTAAAAAATCTGCAAGAAGTATTTTTAAAACTTTAAAATGTACATAAATAGTACTTCTTTATTATAGGAATATTCAATAGAAGAGGAAAACAAAAAATGACTAATTACTGCAGAATGCATTGTGATATATACTCTTTCAGACTTTTGGTTTGTACATATGTATGTGAAAAACGGAAAAGAAAATGTGCATCACTGGTGTCTGTTAGGCTACTTTTTATTTCATTTACCAAGATACTATGAAGTGTGTTTGAGTCAGTGTTTTTCTACATTTGCAATATCCAATTCCTTTGCATTTTCTAACATAGACTTTCAGAGTCTGCTTACTTCAGTATCAGGCATATTGCTACATGTTCCAAGGCATACAATACCAATAGACTAAATTCCAGGGAGTCAACTGCAGATTGTGGATGTCCACTTCTCCCTCATCCCCCAATATTTCCTCTGTATTTCAGATACTAGGCTTTTATTATCATTATTGTATAAATGGTCCCTATTCATTGAAAAATTTAAATATAAGAGAAATTCATTGTAAGAATATACGACTTGAGCCAGCCGCACATCTTCAATACTGGAACTAGGGAGGCAGAGGCAGGTGGATCTTTTATTTGAAGAACATCCTGGTCAACATAGTGAGTGCTAGGCTAGCTAGGACTGCATAGTATGACCTTTTCTTAAAAATTACACACACACACACACACACACACACACACACACACACACACACACACTCACACACATACTCACCTTAAACTACCCAGAGATAATTACTGTTCACTTTTGATGACTATCTTTGTAGATACAGTCTTAAATGTGTTATTTTACTGTATGGAATAATTTCCTTAAACTCTCCCATGACTCCTGGCTGTCTTCCCACATTAGTACACATACAGTAGCCTCATTCTTTGTTACGGTTTCATATTTTAACTTGTAAGAACACAGTCATATACTCAGTCTTCATGGACTTTCTCATAGTTTCCTTTTTATTTTATTTTTTTTTATTTTTTTGAGACAGGGTTTCTCTGTGTAGCTTTGCGCCTTTCCTGGAACTCACTTGGTAGCCCAGGCTGGCCTCGAACTCACAGAGATCCGCCTGGCTCCGCCTCCCGAGTGCTGGGATTAAAGGCGTGCGCCACCACCGCCAGGCTCATAGTTTCCTTTTATTTGCAGTTATAAACAATGTTGCAAGGAATCCCTTGGACATAGATTATTGCACATTAGCCCAGTTACTTCTTAAAAAATAAAACAACAACTTTGTATTAAAAATATTTTCATACAGTATATTTTGATCCTTTTCTTTCCCCTCCCGCAACTCCTCCCAGACCCTCCCCACCTCTCTACCCACCCAGCTTTATGTGTTTCTCTCT